CAGTCATAAGCCAGGTCTTACCACCTCAGGAAGCACGGCTCTATATTATTTCTTCCTATTGTCGCACAAGGCAACATACACAAAAAGGACCCCTGCATACATTATTTTTATTATTATTATTTACGCTTTTGAATTTAATAATCAGGTCAAAAAAAACAATCAAGGACCATTTTATGTGAGAAAAGTGATTTTTTTTGTTTAATTCATCTCATCATGTGTGCAGTAGAGGGTTAAACACAGTTTGGAGTGCTGATGAGCATTAACACCACAACAAGGGGATAAACTGTGTGGGGTTTGACTTTAATCAAAGTAGTACTGTCACATGTGATTCTTTTACTAATAAATAAACCTGGCTTGTCTTTATTATGTGTGACTGTTGCAAAGGGACAAAGAAATCATGCTAATCTGTATTAATGACATCTTAAAGTTTGAATTGCGTCTGTACCTCTGTTCATTTTTAGAGATAACAGCACATCAGCGTGTCTGAAAGTCTATTTCAGATAACTTAACTACTTGACAGTTGAGGTAAGCTAATCACACTGATGACAACCTACAGACTTGAGGGTTTTGTGACTAAAGTCATGTAATGAGGCACATAAAATTATATAGGATGGCGGAGAACAGAGCAGTAACCAGACCTAAGATGAGAATTCACTAATGTGAGAGAGAGAGAAACTCAAGGCAGCAAGTTTTGAAGTCCAGTTTTTATCACTGCTTCATCTAAATGCAAAGAGAAAATCAGTCGTGCTTCTGTTTGTATATCTAGAATAACCATAATATCCACATTGTACATGTATCTGTATCACTGAGGTTAAAGGGGCGTCATCGTGGTCTGAGGCTCAGCTGTGTGTGTGTGAGTGAGTGTGTGTTTGAGAGAGAGAGAGAGAGAGAGAGAGAGAGAGAGAGAGAGAGAGAGAGATAGGGAGCCTGCTGCTGAGGCCCCTGGGAGCCCGTTTAAGCCTTTCACAGCTTTAATGGTTATTTGAGGCAGACTGGAGCAGGAGGCCTGGGGAGAAGGCAGCACTAAATACAGACTGGGGGGTGTGTGTGTGTGTGTGGGGGGGGGGGTTGTAGCAAACCAGCACACCCTATCACCATTCATAATCAACACACAAACACACACATGGCCTGACAGCTGTCACTCCACTGCTCACACTCTCTCTGCACGTGTCAGTTTGTCAAAACGTCTCAACTTTGTATGAAATCCAGAGAGCATAGGGCTAATCTACAATGTCAAGAGCAACAAAATGGTACAGCTGCCCGCTCGTTGTATACTGCTATATTATAAAACGGATAGTTCCGGTCCTAAAATCTAATTGGCTGAGCCGCGTTCAAAGCCGTTATATCGAATCCACGATATATCACGGCTATGACCACCTCACAGCGACTGAACTCTGTATTACTGCGCCACGGCTGCACCCTTCTGCTGTTAACGGGTTAATCTTTGACTCTAATGCTGATCGCATGGGCCACCGAGTGTCTTAACTAGAACTAGGCTGGTCAGCTAGCCAACAGGCTAAAAGATAGCAAACATGCTAAACAGCCCCAACATTAATATCACAGGCTTGAATTAGAGCACTTACGGTATGATTCACTGTAAAACGGCAGTATAAAAGTCTTAAGAATGTCACCTGAATGTTTTACATGCTTCAAATGTCTGTGTTTCAGTCAGAAGTAGCGTCAAACCCAGGCTGAATCCCAAACGGCTCTGTGCTCCCTCGCTAAATAGTGTGCTATGAAACATCAAGTTTAGAAATTCTAGCTTCTGCTGTCAGATAGTGCACTGCTTGTCGAGTGTGAATGTGGATGAATCCCAAATGACCATTTCTTAGTGACATTTTGCATTGTTGGGGTGCAGGAGTCAGTATTTAAATTCCTACATAGTGCACTATGTAGGGAGCAGGGGGGCGTTTGAGATTCAGCCCCAATGTGTGAAAAGTGTCGTCGTCAGACTGGCAGAAGACAAGATTTGGTGACCAAAAAGTACTTATAAACTGAAAGTAGGTGCATTAAACAGTGCTGTGTTATCGTAGGTTCCACCGAACGGTCTTCTCCTCCTTCAGGGGTCAATGGTTGCTTAGCAATGATACCGTACTCTAAAGGAACTACATTTCTTGGCGGAATACTTGTTTATGTCAATTACTATTAATAATAACTTAAATTATCATCTAAAACATTGCGTATTTTAATATATTTTATGTTGGCCGCCATTTTATAAAAGAAATAAGCCACTCGAGGCAGTGCGTTACTGCGGTTTTATCACAGGGAAGGGAGTTGTAGAACACAGCCTCTCGTGGCTTACTGCTTTAACAGAACTGTAGCCCTCTTGTTCAAATACAGCTTTTAAATGCCAAACTATCCAAAGCAACAGCAAAATGGAAAGCTCTAGTTCCCCTCAAGAGCCTCCAACATAACAAGAATGCACAAGCTGTATGTACGAGATCGAGAGGCTACAATCCCATAGGAGCTGGAACCACTGACCGTGATATATGATTGGCTGGAACATGCAGCCACTGTTGCGCTCGCTGGATATCAGTGACAAAAAACTGGAAAATCTCTGGAAATCACATCATTTTTATGTTCAGGCTCACAAGAACCCTGTTTTCTCACAATAAAACTGTTACTGAATTACTGAAAGTAGTTATAAAAAGTAATTATACTCTTATGATGCTTATTTTGTCCACTCTTATAACTATAATAAAAATTGTTTTTTTTTTAATGTGCAAAATCTGTCTTGAGAGTCTAATTTGGGCAAAAGACAAATGCGATTAATCATGATTAACTACAAATATTCATGGTATTATGTGTGATTCATTATTTTAATTGTTTAACAGTCCTACATGAGACATATGCATGAGCCCACATCCTGACAAGGTATAGAAAAGCAGCCACACTAATTCTGTCATAAAAGCGAAGACAAACCCAGATCTCAGTGACCAGCCTAAGGGGAAAACAGCACACAAAAAAAATCCTCCCATGAGTGTCTCAGGCTGCTGAATGAATGTGTCATTGATACTGTGGCACTGCGAGCGCCCATTACCTTGATAAACAGTTAAAGGCGCATTAGGGTTTGACATTACAATCAATGAGAGATATATGAGAGCACTGGAGAGTGTTTGCGTGTGTGTGTCTAACTGTTCACTGTCTCTTTAGAGAACTCGACTATAGGCCATGTTCGAGTTCCACTGCACCTGCTGAACCCCCCACTCACACTGAGGAGCTGCATGGAGCCTCCAATGTTTATGGAGCTGAGTCAAAACCCTACAGCTCAAAGCCGTGACAGTTCAGCTAAAATCTTTCCCCAATTCATATATCAGCCAAGACATGTTTGGTGTCTGAAGTCTGAAGCAACTGAAGCTAGGATGTTAACATAACTAATAAGAAACGGAAGCTTGTCTGAGATCAGGGGAATTATTAAGTAATTTCAGAGTTGCTTGTGTGATTTCTGACATTGTATGACAGACAGTTACCTAGAAATAAAGTTGGATAAAGCACCTCACAGAGCTAAAGACTAGCAGCAGCCATCTTGTCATCTAAACATTGTCTGTAATTTTGTCCATCTTTGTAGATAATAGAGTCAGAAATCACACAAGCAAGTCTAGTTCAAATCTGAGGAAAGTGTGTGATGTTAGCCACACAGTTGGCTATGCTAATACACAATGCTAATTGATTTACATAAGCTTCCATTACTTGTTAGTCACAGTTGGATCCAAAAGTTTTAACACCCCCGTTAAGTTACACAGGTTTTCATTTTCTGAAGGAAAATAAGCATAACGAATTCTCTACAGGGGAAAAACTTAAAGATGATATTTTTAGCACAAAATGTCTATTTATTTGCTGACTAACTTATTAAGGGAAAAAAGATAAAATACAAAATGTGCATTACTTTTGCACAGGCCACATTTTTCAGTTTTATTTTGCTCACAACACGTTAGTGACCCAGTTACACGGAAACCATGCATTAATATGAGCACAAGTATGTTTTCGGATACATATTTATTTTTCATTAGAAAATTAACAAAACGTGTAATTTGACCAGGGGTGCACAAACCTTTGCATAAGATGGTACATTAGCCTTAAGGCTCCAGTGCAAAACTAAAAAGGAACTTTGGACACCAAAGAAATCGTGGCTAATCAACTATATTTGGAGTATATAGTAAACTTCCACTATAGACACATTTTGCTTTGGATTTAATCTGCAACAGTAGCCACGTTTACATGCAGCCTAATCATCTGTTAATAATCTGACTGAAAGCTCAATTGGAACAGAATACGTCCATGTAAACACCTCAATCAGAATAGAATAGTCCAGTTGAGGTAATTCGGAATACAATTTCTATCCAACTGAGCGAGGTGGGTAATCCTGTAAATAATCTGTTAAATAGAAGAATAATATCCGTATAAACGCCTGTATCTGATTACATTCCCTATCTGAAAGTTTAAGTCCGTTCTGATCATGTTCGTCGCGTCATAGTGAAAGTTTATACCGTTCAACATGGCGGAGCAGAAACTGGTCTGCAGAGGAGACAAAGTTTATGCTCTGATCTTTAAAAGACGGCGGTGGGATGGACGTCCAGCTTATGTGTCTCAGAACACGACGTCTTCCTCTCGGCCTTCTTTAATAAGGACATGTGAAGGACGTTTTCCTGAGTCTGACATCATTTTAAAGTAATTAAAAACGCAAGCACTGCTCACTGCTGCTCATCTCACTCTGACTGGACTCACGTGATGTTCGATGTCATGGTAACGTCTACACTAAGTTGTTCTTTACGCATGCACGTCATTTTGGATCTGATTACTTGTAGTGAGCATGTAAACAGAGATTTTCCATCAGATTGTTGAGTAAAGTGAGAATAAACACCTCAGTCTTAATCTATAATCGGAATGTATTCAATCGGATTGGCAAAAATCTTTGCATGTAAACACAGCCGGTGAAAATGATGCTAAGGCTGTGATACTGTTAGCAAAGCGGGCCCAGTGGCTGGAAGGGTCTCCCATACCTGTGCTGACCCCTGAGTTGGCGATGACTGTGGCTTCACTCCACTGGTCGGCACTGGAGACAGAGTATGAGCGCTGGTGCATGCCGTCCGGTCGGCTGTTGAACGACACTAGGCTGATTCCACTCGCCATCTGCGATGCAGACGAGCTACTGCTCACCGAGCCTGGAGAGACAGAGAGAAGAAAACATAAGATACAAAAAAGATACAGAACATACAGCACCTTCTACTGCTAATTGGTAGAATGATACAGATTTGTCTGGATCAAAACAGGCGCCTTTTTCCAGATTCCTCCCTCCAATTAGGGCTTTATTCAGATGACCTGACTCAAGGTGACGTCACAGATGTTAACCCCGTTCTCCGCACGCTAACAAGCATAAACATGGACGTCAGATTACTCTGAGGTTAATTATCCCCACTAGAGGGGCCTAATTAGGATGTGGGCTTCCGAATATGGATTGCTTCCCAAACTTCACAATTAAGGTGGCCATCATAGGCAGCTGGGTATAATCATACTAATAAGATTACAGCACTGCTGTCCTGTGCATGCAGGGATTAAGATATATGGCATATGACTCGCACACTCATGTACAATCATCCATGAGAAACGCTTAGCAGCCAAATAAAATGCTGCACCTTGGTTTTAATAGGTCGTTTAACTATGTAGAACTAAACGTAAATAGCGGCATGATGGTGACGTTTGAAGTGTCTGCTGTTATTGCTGCAGAAACGCTCTCTCTGTGGTAAAAATAGCGGAACCGTCTAAGTGTTTCAGCCTCGGATAATACGCTGTTGTGCAGCTACGGCTCGCCGGCTGACCTGCTGCAAAAAGTGCACTGAATGAAATGCCACGACTCAATTTAATCTCCTTTGTAGCGGATAAATCAGACGCAGGCACCTTTGGGGGAAATAGCATGCACCGATTGGGCACGCTGAGAGTTTGAACATCAGTGGCCATCTGGGAGAAACCGAACATGCAGTTTGAGAGGCAGTGAAGGCCTCACACAAAGGTTTGTTTTTATGACTTGTAAGGATGTGGGGTCATACACAGTGTGTGTGTGTGTGTGACACATATATATCACTGTTGTCAGAAGAAAACCTCTTATCTCCAAATTGGTAACTTTACAGGAGAAAGAAAAAAACTACTTTACTTTTAATGTAAGTCAATGGAACCAGACTTTTTTCCAAGTCATTTTGTGCCGTTTCTTTTGGTCCATTTATCATGAATTTTACATACAATGTAAAGAGCGATAGGTATTTTTAAACTATGTAAAAAACTGAAAAATGACAAGACAAAAATGGAGATACAAGGTTGTGTTCTGACAGCAGTGATTATACACACACACACACATTTTAAGTTTTAAGGTTATCTAACATTTTATTTTCTAAGATTGTTTGGAACATTTTTATTGGTCTGATCATCATGAAATATTCGCACAATATGAAGGGCAGTTCGTGTTTTCAAATGAAAAACATGAAAATGAAGATACAAGTTTTGGCTCCAACAGAAACAATATTTAAATACATATACGTAACATATCCCCCATATATATAATATATTTTAATTACTTATATGTAATAATATGTCCCCATAAATATTATATATGTGTTAGTATTTATTTGTAATGATATGTTCTATATGTATATGCTTTTATATAATTAATAATATAATTCATATGTAGTAGTAGTAGTATGTCCTTTATGCATTTTATATATTTAAGAACCTATTTGTGATAGGTCCATCATTACTGTCCATCTCTTTGTTTGTTATTTGCAACGTTTTTGCATAATTTGAAATCTCCTGTTACCCTTTGCACTGGGTTACATTTATATGACGAATGGACCAACAAAAAGGCCAAAATTCCTTGCTAAAAAATTTCCATTGACTTCCATTACTTGTTAAAGTTTTTTTTTCTTCTCTAAAGTTACCACTTTGTAAGTTTATGTCCAGACAACGACAATACGTAATTTACCAAGCCTGACTCTAAACCAAACTCATTAACTTCAGCAGTAAAAAAGAAATTTGTTTGCTCTTTCAGTTTTAAACAATTAAACATGCCTTTTGTAAAAAAGCACTTTAAAAAGTCAGGACCGTTTATCTGGCCCTGACGAGGTAGGTTACCCGGGTTTTCCGGAGGTTTTGTCCTGAGAATGTATGAAAACACAGACAGACAGACAGACAGACAGACAGACACACACACACACACACACACACAGTAGACTGCTTCTGCTGCTCTGTGTGTGATGACTGAGCTCGTATTTAATTGGAGCACTCCCAAAGACAGATATTACAACAAACACATAAGAGGTCCTTCTGATCACAGTTGCAACCTGGCCTCAGAGAGTCAAATCCTTGACTTACAAAAGCTTTCATTACCTTACGACTGAGTGAATTATCTCCTTCTTCTCCCCCACCCCTCCTTCCCTCCCTCGCTCTCTCTCTCATTAGTGCTCATTTCAGAGCTGCCTGACTGGAGAGCCAGCGCTGATTGCATTAATATTCATGACAATAATTAGTACGTGTATTATGGGTCACTGAATATTCATGCTATTAGTTTGGTCCTCCTGGAGCTGTGTGCGTATGTGTGAGTGCACATGTGTGGACAGGGTATTTTATATTCCTCGGGGGGATTTAAAGATGTTGCTCCTTTTTTATCGTGAATGGTCTAAACAGGATGCGATGATTTGACGTTGATTACACTGTTTAATAAGAACACTAGATACTTTGCTTGCGCCGTTCAATTGGTATGCAGAGACATACTCAATTGCTTAGATCCGTCAGCACCATCGATAATCCTTTAAGTGAGTTTAGCACTCAATTGCACTCCTACTACACCTCTTCAAATCTGCTATTTTTTTATATTAATAACTGTGTTAAAAAAGCCAATCTATACACAAACAGTGCGTGTTACCTGGAGCCTGCCCCAGCTGCAGGTTGCTCATGTCCTTGGTGAGGCCGTTGGTTTTGGGGCCGGGGGCAGCACAGGTGGAGATGGCTCTGGGAGGCCTCTTCCCTGGAACCTTCACCGTAGTCCTCAGCAGATCAATCTCCTTCCCGTGCACATTCTGCATGTAGTCCTGGAGTAAAAACAATGGACAGTGAAAAGGATATGAGAAGACTTCAGGGTGAGGATATGGCCACGTTTACCCATTCAACACCAACAGACTAAAGTTATGTGTCATCAAAAGTGTACTGGTATACCATGATACTGACACAGTGATGTTGCTTTTTAGTTTTATCGCTATTTTCAGTGCTAATTTTGACAGATAATGAACAATATCCATGGTATTTATTCACAAAATCCATATTCGATTCAATATGATAAAGGAAAGAGTTGAAAACGTGTCTCACATAAAAATGTTTCCATTTCCAGTTTATTAGAATTCAACATAATCACAGTAAAATATCTGAATACATACAGAAATTTACAATGCTTTATAAATCTAATGTTCTAGCCAATATAATGCAAATCTATTGCTCTAGCTACAAGCACAAAGCTAACGCACTAGCCATAAGCTAATACAGTAGTCACAATATTATGCTGTGATGCAATTTTACAACAAAATAGGCGACACTGTTACATCTCTCTAACTCTCTAACTCTAATAAAGTGGTATTATCCCTGTTGTTAAGTGGCTTCTTTTTAGTTTTTTAATTCTGTTTTGTGCATTTTACTCAAGGTTTCCAAAGACATGAGAGTTAGAAATTTGGTGCTTTAGACTGTTTTGAAAGAATAGTTCAAAATGCATAAAAGCTAAACAAATTTAAACGTTTCCTTTCTAAATAGGATTCTAACTGCTTAACATTTACAATACTGTGTTTATTACTATGTATATACTAAGTTTACTTTTAGTGGGAAATTATTAAAAAAACAATTAAACAAGCTACAGGTTTATTAAACATTCTTTGAGCATGGGTTCATTAACTTCATATTAAGAATTTTATTAATCTGATATCGTGATACTGTGATATGGTTGAACAATACGGTAATACTGAATTTCATCAATAATGCCCAGCCTTAGTCTAAACATATTTCTATTTAAGATGTTAAAGGAGGAATCCAGTGATGCTTCAACACTTCTGCATAATTCAGTGGTTAAGATGTAAAAGTCAGAGCAGGTTGATGTGAAACAGACTCTTCACAATGATGCTAACGGGAACCAGGGGTTGCAATATCTAGAATACAAATATAGTCATATTATTTATTATCCAAAGCAACCAGTGAACCCCACGTGTCACCTGAGTTTAATATGTAATATTGGAAATGGTAATATAATGATAAATCCAGGTGGCGGGATTCTTTGGGCAATGTTTTGCTTTATAACACCCTCTCTACCACGTATTTCTCCACCATGTATCTCTCCACCACGGATGTATTTTGAAAAATATGTTTCAGGCCAAAATCTTCACTCAAAAACTATAGTTAAACAACATCTAAGGCATTAGTTGACGTAATCGTAACCATTAAGTGTAATAATTTTCTATGGGGTAGCTTTAAGGGACATTGAATGCTTCAGTTGTCTGGTTCCCACCACCTCTATGAACAATCCTGACTAAGTTTCTATAGAATAGAGTCTGAAAGACTTGTATTCGCGTTACTTTACTTGAGTACATTTTTCCCTCTAAGGGTACTTTTTGGAGTAAAATTAAATCATAGTTCTTTTACTCGTACTTAATTCATAATGAAATACTTTTACTCTGCTATTTTAATTTTAAAGGGTAAAAACAAATTATGAGCATAACAGCTCACAAACTAATCGGAACAAAGTCTGGTTAAATTTACAAAAATTCCCTGCTGCAAAAACACTAAAGAGACATCGAGTTTAGAACAGAAACAAAGAGGAGAACTTTACAAGCTCACAGGAGGAACGTACTTTATCCAAGTGGTCATCTTCATTTGTTTATTAAATGAACTAAAAATGAACTAAAAATGACAGCAATATTATCAGCTGATAAACACAAAATCTGTCAAGATCTTTTCACAACTTAGCTTCAGCCTGAGGAAGCAGCTGCCTAGCTAGCTAATCCCAGCTAAACAGGTACTGCAGTGGCTATTTAACAACCTATTGTCGCATATATTCTATAGCAAGTGTCTGTTTACTAGCTACTTTAGTTAACTTTGGCGTCAACCAGTACAGTTTCTAAACTATTTTATTGGAAATAGATAAACTAGGAAAGCTTATATAATCATCTAACCTTGAAATACATGGAGTTTAATATAGATCCTTGTTCCCTACACAGTAGATAGAAAGATGTTTAAATCGAAGCTGTTTTATCGGAGCATACTGTGATCAGTCCCAAGACTTTTATTAAGTCATTTCAGTGACTTAATTATGCAGAAATTAAATAAATTAAATTAAATAAATAAAAATCTGTGGAATTCCCCTTCAACTTACCGCAAAGTGACAAAGAAAACATCTGTATTTGTATTAAAAACATTTGGAAAATCTGGGGATTTATAACTGATATTATATACAAGACAAGGGTAATAGAGTCCAGTACATCAGACATTATAGCGCTCACTGCCATTTATTCAAACAGAAAAAATACTAACTTTAAAAGTACACAGATATGTGCCTGAGCACACATACACACTCAGATCACAGCATGCGGTGAAGGTGTGTTTCGGATGCTGGGCAGGGGGCCGGTGCACGACGCGTGGCTTTGCTCCCATCGATGATGAAAGTTCCTCGATGCTAATGGGGATGCAATTACCAGCAGCAAGCTGTTGGCCCGCCGCTCCTGAAGGGCTCTCCTGTGGCTTGTTAAGCCGTGTTGAGAGCACTTGGCTTTGAATTGCCCTTTTGTAGGCCTCTGGTGAGGGACGGAGACGCTTGGCTCTCGCTCTCGATTGCGTGTGCACACACACATACACAGAGATACGGGTCCTTTGTGGCGCCTGATTTGCACTCGGCAGACGCGGGACAGTCGCGGGTGGTCTGCTCTGGCACTCAAAGGCCTGGCCCCTGCTCTTTGAGGTTAGGAGACCCCACGAACGTGGGCCATCGAAGCACGTGTTACTGTGTCACATCAAGGCCGAGCACGTTGGGAATATTATACGAAACTGGCTGTGTGCAACACTTGGTCTTAAATAGAGAAGGACAAAGCCACTTGAGGGATTTAAGGATTAGAATGTTTCTTTTTATCTGGAGTGTTCAAATGAGTGAGTCTGATGAAAAGATCAGCTGAACAAGTCACAATGCATGCGAGACAGATGTGATTACATCTGACTCTCTCTAGAGATGAATATGTTAAGTTCTATAGTTTAATTGTGTAAGTAGATGTGTCCAACATAAGGCAAAATTGGCCAATAAATTATAGGAGTAAGCCATGAGAGGCCGTATATTAGTAATGTTTACCACGGTTATGAGGTGTTGTTAGGCATGGTATATGGTATTAGGTGTAATTAAGCAAATAATTTCAATGAATAACTTATTATTAATAATAACCCTATTCTTTTTTCAATTAATAATTCTTCTGCTAAAATTTATTGTTTGTTAACCACAGGTTATGGTCGCCAGGTTACCTAAGATCATTCAAGCATGATTATGTGCCTTATGTTACTTATGCCACTTTATTGTTAAATTCAGGGACCTTCTTATATTTATTTTTTTATTATTCTATTCTATTTTTCTACAATTAGTGTTAATTTTTACGATTAGTGTTTATTTAGTGTCCATTTAATTCACTTTTCCTGTTTACTGTCTATTTAATGTTATTGCTACACCATGGGGTCTGAGAGTAATGCAATTTCAATACTCTGTATGTCTTCTACATATTGTAGTATTGACAATAAAAGCTGACTTGACCTGACTTTTAAAGGGGCTGGTAACTCTATTACAAATATTAGAACTCAATGATTCTAAAGATTCCTGAATTGATTATTATTGTCCGAAGATTTAAAAAAAATAAAACCTAAAAATATTTCAAATAACATGAACAGCAACAGGCTTTTAAATTTTTTTAAGCTTTTATTTTCTGGCAGAAGGCAGACTTTGAATCTTCGCAAAATACTGGTCTACAAAGGTAAACTCATGTTCAACCGGAAGTGAAAGTGATAACTGCAATGATAACTGTTATTGATTAACACAAGCAGGAATTTAAAAAGAGCTACTCTGTCTTCCTTCTGATTAGTCCGAGGGATCACCTGACACCAGCATTCTTCCAATATAGTCACACCCAACTCAAAGCCAGAGGTGCAAAGAAATGAATTACATGTATTCGCGTTACTGTACTTGAGTACATTTTTCCCTCTAAGGGTACTTTTTGGAGTAAAATTAAATCATAGTTCTTTTACTCGTACTTAATTCATAATGAAATACTTTTATTTTAAAAACAAATTATGAGCATAACAGCTCACAAACTAATCGGAACAAAGTCTGGTTAAATTAAAAAAACTCCCTGCTGCAAAAACACTAAAGAGACATCGAGTTTAGAACAGAAACAAAGAGGGGAACTTTACAAGCTCACAGGAGGAACGTACTTTATCCAAGTGGTCATCTTCATTTGTTTATCAAATGAACTAAAAATGACAGCAATATTATCAGCTGATAAACACAAAACCTGTCAAGATATTTTCACAACTTAGCTTCAGCCTGAGGAAGCAGCTGCCTAGCTAGCTAATCCCAGCTAAACAGGTACTGCAGTGGCTATTTAACAACCTATTGTCGCATATATTTTATGGCGAGTGTCTGTTTACTAGCTACTTTAGTTAACTTTGGTGTCAACCAGTACAGTTTCTAAACTATTTTATTGGAAATAGATAAACTAGGAAGCCTCATATAATCATCTAACCTTGAAATACATGGAGTTTAATATAGATCCTTGTTCCCTATACAGTAAATAGAAAGATGTTTAAATCGAAGCTGTTTTATCGGAGCATACTGTGATCAGTCTCAAGACTTAAAACTTTTTTTCTTATGTAATATGTTCTGCTTTAGTTTTGTCTGTATAGATTATTTCCAATAATGTGGCTACAATGTTACATAAACTACTTATTTACTCTTACTTCGGTATTATTGTTAATATTTGTACTTGTACTCAATTATCACTAAAAGTAACAGTACTTTCACTTAAGT